ACTTGAATTATTACTTCAGCAATTTTATTGTTATTAAGTAGTAGTAATTTTCTTTCAAAAGCCTGTTTTCTTTGACTATTGTCATTGTTTTTCATATTATAGTTATAATTTCACATATTTTCCTCATATTTATATAATGAAATTTTCCATTAACATAACTATCACTGCAACTTTGAAGGTTCCAAAATATTCCCATGTTCAGATAGACTTACTTGTTTCTCTGTTGTTTGGATATTTGTATCTATTTGTGAATACTGTGATGGAACTGCGGATGCATATCTCTGGTTATTTCTTCAGTAAAATTTCCTAGAATTGAAATACTAGATTAAAAGGAATTCTAAAATAGGCATCACTTTTAAAAAGAAATTAATTGTCAATAGATCATCATAGAAATGCAACGGATAATGATATTACTACTTTTCTTTTTTTTATAACCCTGTTTTGAAGGATAATTTTCATTTGGAGAATAGACTTAAGGAAAGAGAAGCTTTTCTGGGAATATGGTGTTTATAATATTTGCAAACACCAGTTAAATGGTAGCATGTCTTTTCTTTTTTTGCTGATTACTTTTCTGAGAGCAGCCACAGTATAGGCCATGAAATAGGAGGTGTCATTTGGCTAGCTATTGATTTGAAGTTCTGGGACAACAGCACATATGGGGGATCAGGAAACAGGAGAAAGTAACATGCATCAGGCATGGAATCTACCCAGCTGCAGGGAACAGCAGGCCCCCCAGAACGCTGCCTTCACCAGCATGGCGCCAAGCGGTTTCCACTGCGTGGGTCAAGTATCAACACTTGGTTAATTAGTCACAGTTTTTCAGAATCTAAGGGTGTCAGCCAGGGGTCTGCCTGCTCATATGGAGAGCTTGCTGCTCAGAGGAGAAAGGTTTGGGATCTGCCCTTGCAGCTGGCTGGCTGTGGGATGATTGTCAGGGTACTGAAGTGATTTAGCCTAGGAGAGAGCAGCAGGCAGCAATTTCGCTGCTGCCGCTTTTTATCTGTTCCTCTTTCTACTGATTACTGCTGGCGTGTAGCAAGACCTGAAAGGAAAGGCTGAGAGAGAACAATAGAGGAAAGAGGAAAACACTTTAAATGATTTCCTTAGCTGAATTCAGATGAACCTCTCTCTTTTAAAGTACCCTGGTGACTGGCCAGGCCCAGCTGACAGACTGGCTTTAATTGAAACTCAAAAGCTTTTAGGGATCCAAGTGGCTGGAAACAGTTTCATTGATACTCTGTCTCTAGCTACCTCTTTTCATTGTGGAATTCATAATCCATTCATTCTCCTCAGAGTGAATTTGGGGGCAGGATAATGTTTGGCAAATGCCAAAGCAACCATATTCTCCCTGTTGCATTGAACTCTAACTGTAATGGTGAAATATGCTAAACTGGCGTCAAGTTCAAAGACATTGATTCACAGAATAAATTTTAAAATCTAGTAGTGATCCACTTCCATATAAAAGCTCCTGTATGGCTCCTTTTTCCCAGTTGACAAGCATAGTCTTCCAACAAATTGGTCAGAAACACAGAAGAATATCTTTAAATCATTTAGTTTAACCTCTCAATACATGCTTCAGTCTCTCATGGCTAGTGACTAGTCAGCTACCCATTAAGTGAAGGCCCCAGCCCTCCAAACCAGTGTACTCCCAGTTCAGAAAGCACTGTCTTTCATTTATCCTTTAGCTGAACCACAATTTGATTTCTGGACTTTCCTTCTTTTTCTTTTTCTTTTTATTTTTGAATCCACCCAAAACAAAATAACTTTTACATAACATTTCTTAACAAATTCTGAAATTCAAATGTGTCTATTTTGAGATTTGCCTTTAGAGTTTGAATATTCTCAGTAGAAGACTTATCTGTTCATTCATTAAGTATTTGTTGAACAATACTATATACTAGACAAAGAAACACAGATCACAGATTACCACTAAATACTTGTCTTCTACAAGCCCAATTTAAAGGAACACTGGCTGGATAGCTGTGCAGATTACATATAGGTATGTAACACATTTCATTACATATAGAAGCATAGACATATACAAAAACTTAAAGAGGAATGATTTATGCAGAGAAGAGTATTTTATGTAATCATTTAATATCTTTTGAAGCATATGTCATCCAAGCCCTATCTTTAAAAATGAGGAGTACTCTTTGGTGGCCTAGGGGTCAAGTCTCAGTGCTATCATTACCATGGCCTGAGTCTGATCCCCAGCCAGGGAGCTAACCCACATGGCACAGCTGACCTCTCCTGTCTTACCCACTGCTCACCTTAGCATATGTTTCAGTAAATCAGACTATTCTGCTCCCCACTCAACTCATCTCTAGTCTATCCTCTCCCCTCTACACACCTCCGGCCCACACCTCAGTTCTTCTACACAAAGAAAAATAAAAATGTTAAATGTTTATGTGTGTATATAAATTAAAAGAAAAAAAGAAAGAACTGAGCCAGTCAAGTGGGAGATGGAAGTTTTCAGGCAGTGAATAAAATATGAGTAAATGACAAGTGATGAATTATGTCAATTAGTGCACGAAAGCAGTTCCTTTAGTTTTCTGGGAGCTAACATGTACAAATAGAAGTGAACAAGAAAAGATAAAAGCTATATCGTGATCTTTCTTAAATGACAAAATTATGATTGTCCTTTTCCAACCTTATTAATATCATCAAGGAAAAACATTTGAGTGTCTTCAAATCTCTGCTTGCCTCCTTCCTTTAGTCAAACTTCTCTATTCCTTAGGTGCCAAATCTAGTAAGACCAGTATGTTCAATTGATATTTTTGGAGTTAAACTCAAAGTACATTAAAGATGCTCATTTCACAATCCTTTTCTTCCAAATCCTCTGAGTCTTTGAAGAAACTTCCTCATTTAAGTTACCTAATTACTGATGTTTTCATGATAGTGTCGTTGAAGTTTTAGGATGAAAATGTACTGGTGACCAGATGCCAGACAGTCACTGCCTTTTCTTCTTAGACTTGATTTGCATGAAGGTAACATTATGTGGTCCTATCCTTGCAGGCTTAGTTTGCAGTCAGTCACACAGGAGATACTCATCCAATACTGACACAGTCACTAATACTAGTAGGATTTTTAAAAAATATATATTTATTTATATGTACAGAACTGGGGTACAGGCCAGAGATGCAGGGGGAGAGATAAGTCACTAGAGACATAGTATGGAGCAGAACTGGCAGATTAACTGAAATGCACTGCTGAGGGGAGCAGCAGACGGGTCAGGAGAGGTCTGCCATGCCATACAGGTCACCTCCCTGGTCAGGGATTGAACTTGTGCTGCAGTAACCGCGGATGGCTTCATAATGCTGTGCTTTAACTTGTTGTACCACCACCATGGAGGACCCGGTATTAGAAGGTTTTTAAAGCAAAAAACAGATGCTCATATATTCTGCTCTGAAGAACCACATGATATACACTAGCCTCATCGAATTCTGCTTTCTTTCTTTCTTTGCAGATCTGGTGTACCCTTCCTGAAATGGAAGATTTTACACAGGTTCTTTCCTCCGCCATAAATACTCTGTCTTCCTCTCCAGTTTCCACCCTGTTCCCTTCCAAAGTCACTAACTGCTATTCCCATAGGAAAAACCCTTACATGTTTGCCACCTGTTTGCCACCCTTGGACTCTACCTTTCTTCTCATATACCTCATAAGCTCGTATATTCACTGTTGCAATTTTAGGTCTTAGTCCTGGGCCTGGCACAGAACTGGGGCTTAATAAATATCAAATGAAGGTACTTAGCATCTTCTCTCTTCAGTAAAAATTAGAAACATTATTTAGTTATTGAAAATGGATAATTATAAAATTTACCTACTTATATAGGAATTGGTTAAAATATAATGTAAATTAGAAAAAAACGAGAACATAGTATAGAGGCAATGCAGCCATGGAAATGTAGCTAAAAGTAAAAATTAAATTAGACATATGTTGTGTGAGCTGGTATATGAATTTTGATAGACTTTCAATTATGTCTTATATACAAATTTTGGAAGGGTATACATAGATTGGATGTCAGTTACTGTAACTTACAGAAGTATGAAACCTTTATTGGAATATAAACTACTTAATTTACATGATGCAAGCTTCACTTTAAAGTCTATTTTTGGGGGCCCTCTCTGTGGCACAGTAGGTTAAAGCACAGAAGCCATTGTGAAGCTATCTGTAGCTACTGCAGCATTAGTTTGATCCCAGGTCAGGGAGGTGACCCATATGGCGCAGCAGACCTTTCCTGTCTTGCCTCCTGTTCCCCTCAGCAGTGTATTTCAATGGATCTGTCTGTTCTGCTCCCCAAACTGTCTCTGTTGAATCCTCTCACTTCCACATCTCTGGCCTATACCCTAGTTAAGTATGTATAAATAAATAAATCTTAAAAATAATAAAAGTCTATTTATTGCTGCAAAATATCTCACAATTATGCCTTGAGAATGGGCACTGTCTTCTGAATTCGGGTTTCCTTGTTGTACTAGAGGAACACTTATTTGACAGATAAATATGAAAACAGTATTGGAAATAACAAAGTTAAAACACCCAAATGGCATGATGCTGCTATTCATGTGATTTGTTTCACTTCATATTTTTATTCTATGTGTGTATATATATATATATATATATATGGGTGTGTGTGTGTGTGTGATAATTGAGACCAATGAATTTTGCATTGTTTCATGTTATGCAGTTAAGCTTTTTCCCTACTTCATAGTCACTTTAATTGCTACATAGAAAAATAATTCATAACAAAAACATAAGGCCCTTTGTGTAGCAAAAATGTAAGACCTCTTGAATTCCTGCAATGCAGGGAAAGAAGATGTGTTTGTGTTTTTTTTTTTTTTTTTGACCTTTCTTTGTCTGCTGACAGTGTACTTTATAGCTTTGCATACAAGACTGTTATCAACTGATTTCCATTTAGAAGTAAGATGATAACATGAAGTGCAAGGGGAAGGAGGTTTAGGTGACAACTACATCATTTAATGTCTACTTATTGTTTCTGCAGGGCAATTCTGGCCTGGGATTCAGTATTGCAGGAGGGACAGATAATCCTCACATTGGAGATGACCCTGGCATATTTATTACGAAAATTATACCAGGAGGTGCTGCAGCAGAGGATGGCAGACTCAGGTAAAGATCTGAAACATTAGAATTATTTGGAAAGTAAATCTGCCACATTTGTGAGACACATTTGTAATCTTTGGAGAACAATAATTGTACAAAAGTTCTGTACTGGAAAAAGTAGGTTGTCAAAGTAAGCTTTCTGCCTGACTTTGCAGATCTCTTACTACTGACTGAATTTTAGCTGCTATTCAATTTGTTTTTATTGATAGCCACCACCTTCCTCATTGGGTCAGGTGTTAAAGGAAAGGTACAGTTATACCTTTTGCTTATGCAGCTTTCAGTTTTGATGCACACTTTCTCTAACTTCATAAATCTAAAAAGAATACAGAAGATAGGAAAGCAAGTTGTCTCCACAAAGAGGGAAGATATTTTGGTTCCAATACAAACTGAGGACAAGCGTGAGTGTTTTCACTGCTCCAAGTACTTCTCAGTACAGAGTAGCTACTTGAGCCAGCACCCTCTGGTGGGAACTAAAGATTATTTGTGGAAATAAGAGTCTTCCACTTGGGACAATTAATAAATAAAATAAAATAATCTCAGAGATGAAAACACTACTTAAAGACACAGTGGATTAGAAAAATTTGAAGATGTTTTCTTGGAGAAAAAAACATGCCCTAATGTTATGCTACCATCCCCCAATAGATTATAAATCCCCTTATGCCAAATGTTTAAATACAATTCACTCAAAAAATTCTTGCTGAATGATAAATGAATGAATGAATGAGTGAATAAAATGAGAGGATAAAAGAGGATGAAATAATGAGTAGCGAAGGGTGATAACACAAATTATTTTAGGTAAGAATGACTGGAAGTTGATGGTGACCCAAGAGGCAGAAATGTGATCTTCATAGTCCTTCCTCTGTCTGCTGTTTTATCAAGGATAAGTAATCTGATTTACTAATCTACTAATCCACATGCCAAACTTCACTGTTTTTCTTATAAGGCAGACAAGGACATGTTTTCCCTGACCAATTATTTTCATCAGTGATTACTTTTGACAGCTGCTTCTTTGCACTTGGTAGAGAAAAATCACCTCATTTGTTTCCCCAGGTACATCTGCGTCTCCTAGCAACAAGAAATTAGTGACATCCACATGCTTTTTGACAATAGAAATTTTTTAAGCTGAGTTGACTAAAATTCTGTGTGAGGAAGTATCTATGTTGCATAGTGAATGACTTGCTTTTGTAATTCTGTGAGGGGACTGGATTTGCTAATTTGCACCCAGGACTAGTTCCACTTTAAAAGTTTAGAAATAGATTTGACACATGATAATTCTGATATTACTGAGCAATAATTGTCATTTTGTACCACTCTATCTAAAAGTATGATAATTTCTATATTGTTGCCCAGTTCTGTTTTGAACCTTGTGACAAGCTTTATGTGTGGATGCAGCAATAAAAATGGACAAGTGTTATCTCTGGGAGTGCCAACATTCCTCACTTGCTAGCACTGTAAAAGGAAGTAGTTCTTCTTGTTGGAAGTCTCATTCAGGAGTTATAAAGAAAATAGGCATATTAATCACTAACATTTATTAGACCTTTATGATTATGCTAAATTGAAAAGAGGAGAGAAGGGAGTTCTTGAGTTGGTTGGGTTAACCAAATTAGCATCACATAGATTAGTAGGATGAAAGAACAAATCTATTTAACATACATATGGACTATCTACCTGAATAGATTAAGAAGTTATGGGGCAAAATGAGCCTGGTGCTTAAAGGAGAGAAAGAACTGACATGATGAGGAGAAGATGACTTCTGCAATGAAAACAATGGATCTGTTATTAGATGTGGTCCCTATCATGTAGATAGGTTTCTAGATAGATTATTACTGATAAAACACCTAATTATTACTAATAAGATACCCTCATTTTTTATTCTTATAGATAATTGATTTTCTCAGAAAGTGCTAGGCCTCAACTGACCTTATTTTAAAGTAATTCACATGCTCAGGTAACCCACTTTAGGGAGGCCAGTCTCATACATCGATCAATACAGCTAGTAGACAGACATGTAAGCAGAGATTTAGATACACCTACACATGATCTTCTGTATACTTCCAGCAGAGGTATTAAGTAGATATTTTATGGCCATAATAAAAGAGAGTCAGGGATATAAGGCTTAAGGACTTAAGAAGCCAAAAATTAGTAAAAAGTGGAAACAATAAAAATGTGAGCAGAAACACATAAAATAGAAACCAAAAAGACTATGCAAATGCAAAATATCAGTGAAATCAAAAGCTTGAACTTTGACAGGGTGAATCAATAATCCTTTAGCTAGGTTTCCTAGGAGAAAAAAATTACAAATGAAAATAATTAAAAATGAAAGAGGCAAAATTACAGTAGTTATAACAGAAAGAGAACATCTTTATGCAAATAAACTAGAAGGCATAATAGAAGTGGACATTTTTAAAGAAGGATGCAACCTTCTAGAACTGAACCATGATGGACTAGACAGCTTGTGTGAACCAATCAAACATAAAGAAGTCAAGAGAATAATCACAAATCTACCAACAGAATTTCAGTACTGATTTGCTTCAGCAATGATTTCTACTTCAAAGGTTTAATATGTTTTAAACTCTTAAAAAAATAAAATAAACTAGAGGGAAGCATGCAAACAGATTTCTCCAGGCCAGCATTACCTTGATTCAAAAACTAAATAAGGAGAGTACAAAAGTAGAAAACGATAATCTGAAATCTCTGAATATAGATACAAAACTCTTCAGAAAGTCTTGGCACATTGAATCCAAAAGTATATTAAGGAAATTATTTGCAAGAACCAAGTGTAATTTATTGTAGGCATAGAAATTTGGTTCAGCATACACAAATCCATCAGTGTCACTCAGCACATCAACAAAAAGTTGCATGATGCAAAAAAACCAATAGACCTTCATCACATATTTATAATAGAACTCTAAAATGAGAAGGGACAATATCTCAAAGTAATAAAAGTGATGTATGACAGATTCATAATCAGCATCATACCAAAGATAAAAATCTGAAAATGTTTCTCCAAAGAGCAGAAATAAGGCAAAGATTTCTACTATCAGCACTACTATTCACCATAGCATTGGAAACCCTAGTAAGAATTAGGTCAGAAAAATGACAAAAGGAATCCAAATAAATGAATACACACACACACACATGCATGTATGTATGTATGTATGCATGCATGTATGTATATATCATATGCTTAGGCAATCCGAAAACTGTTATAAATAATAACAATGAAGTATCAGTAAAAAAAAAAAAAAGACCAAAATCAATTGTATTTCTGTATGAAAACTATAAGTTAGAAGAAAGAGCATTTAAGAAAATAATTTAATTTACAGTGGCACCAGAAAGGATGAGATACCTGGGAGTAAACTTAACAAAGGAATGATCTATGCACTGAAAAAATAAAACACTATCAAAGGACATTAAAAAAGATATGAATAAATGGAAATATACCTTATTTTCATAGACTAGAAGAATAGACATTGTGAAAATAGGCATATTATCTTAGCAACTTAGATATTTTATGTGATACTATCAAAATGCCAATGGTATTTTAAATGTCAAAATATTATGAAATCACAAAAGGGCCCTGAATAGCCAATGCAATCTTGGAGGGAAAAAGTGGCCTCCCTGGTGGCCTTGAGGTTGAGTCTCAGCTCTATAATCACTGTGGCCTGAGTTTGATCCCCTGCCAGGGAGTGAACCCACCACATAGGGTGTAGCAGACCTCTCCTGTCTTACCCATCTCCTCTTAGCAGTGCCTTTCAGTAAATTGGCCTGTTCTGCTCGCCTTTCTGTCTCTAATGAATCCTCTCATCATCCCCACACCTCTGACTTATACCCCAAGTTTTCTATGCAAAAAATTAAAAAAGAGAGAAAAAGAAAAGTTGGTACCAAAATGTGATGCATCATGATAAGCTGGAAACCGCTACCAATGTAACAAGGATCTAAACACCTCTTGCACACAGCTAGAAGCCAGCCAAAGGCAGTTTGTTTAAAGGAATAGGCTAGTTCTTAGGAGCAAAGTTGCAGGAGTTAAAGAAAAAGCTCTTTCCAGCATTTAGGAAAGACAGATAAGAGGCAACAACAGCTCCCATGTACATGGGAAGGGGCCCACATGAGTTGGCATTGGTGAAAACAACTTTCAGACTGTTCCAGTTATGCTCATGTTTGGGGTGTAGGGAGTGAGCAGTGGTGATCAGTCAGTTTCTTAATTGGTCAACCCTGTCTGATGCCCTAACATAAATTAACTGCTGATAGTGTCATGGGCTTTCTTCTTGTTATTGACTTTTCACTCTTGTTATATGTCCCAGAGGTCCCTCGTCTCCCAGGACTCTCTGCCCCATCTCTCTTGTTATGTCTCCTATGTCCCCAGTCCCTATCTTTATGTCAAGTTGTAACCCCTCAAAACTATACTACACAGTGTATAGTAATCAAAATGAATGGTATTGAAACAAAAATAAAATGGAAGTCAGTGGGAATGGGTAGAGAACTCAAAAATAATCCCACACAAATATAGATAGTTAATTTTTGACAAATGAGCCATGGCCACATAATAGAGTAAGAAAAGTTTCTCATTTAACAAATAGTTTTAAGAAACTTTGGCAGCCACATGCAGAAAAAGAAAGAAAAAATAAGCAATATCATTATTTAATTCTATGCATAAAAATTAATTCAAAATGGATAAAAGAATGGGCTGTATTAACCAAAGTCATAAAATACAAAAACAAGAAAACATAGGGTACAGACTCCTGGACACCAAGAGAGATTATGTGAATATGCAACTCCAATGGCAAGGAAAACAATATTAACTTTAAAAAAAGGGGAAAGCCTGTCACGCTAAAAACTTCACTATTGCAAAGGAATCCACCAAGAAAACAAAATGGTAGAGCCAGGATGAACACATGCCAGACCTGCCTTCTCCATATCGTTACAAATTGCCAAACAACAAAGTCAACAGCACCTGAAAAATAGACAACTACAATATACTAGATACAGTATTCTGGCAGAAAAAA